AGTTTGTACGTGATTTGAAGTTTGTATGTGCTTTGTCTGTAGGGGCCACCGTAAATATACTTTTATTTATTCACTCTACATAAAATGTTCTAGCTCTAAGAGCCATTTCGTTCGCGACCGACCCATCACTACTGCTGAACACCATAAACAGGTTTTGGTGTAACATGCGTTCCCACCCAGATAACGTTTTCTTCTTGTTTCTTTCAGCAAAATATTACCAAACCAGATTCTGAGCAGATTACAAGACCACATCTCTGTAATAAAAGAGTGGTCTGCCCCCTATTTAAAATATTTTGAGTAATATGGAAAAAATATGCCAAAATCAGTCGAAAACTATTGAGAATTTGAAATGGTATCTCAAGACAGGATAGGAAAACATTTAGTCTCAAAACTACAGCAAATGATCTCAGTTCCCGTAGTTGACTAGATGTAAGTAGAAGAATTGAGGCAAATTGAAATGCGTAGCTGGAATTAAATAAAACTTTGCATTTAGTATACGCTTCCCTGTGCTTTTTTTCTGTTAATTATAGGCTTTAATAATTTACAAATCATTTCTTTCTGGTTTGATTTACCGTTTACACAGCTCCAACTGTTTGGCCATTTTTGCGTAGGGATAAAAATTCCAAAAATGAAGAGTCATCTGGAAGACTCAGGTTAGCTCTAGAAAATCAGTCACAATCAGTAGTGGCTAACAAACGTCAGACAAAACACCCGTTTGGTGCAGTATGCTGGTTGCCTTGAACAAACACAGAAATGTTAAAACTGTTAAACTGGAACAGATCATGCAAATATCACAAGTCTAAAATAGCCTTTACCACAAGTCTGAGCACACCTTAAGGCCAAGGTTCCTTTAATAGTCACTTGAAGCAGGGCACCAAATCAAGTGAGTAAAAATAACAACAGACATCTTACAATCCCGAGGCAAAATTTCTTAAAGACAAGCATTTTGGGAAATATCGACTTGGCTTGGATTTTAGCCGGCTGCTGGACTCAGGGATAGCAATCAACACTTGCCATTGGTTTGTATATATTTGGATTTTCTGAAAGACAGTGCTTTTCTCTTTTTTTAATTTATCCCGTCTGGTCTTTACACATTTTTATTTTATACTACAAACAATAGGAGATCATATATGGAAACAAATGTTTTTTTCTCTTAGTTTAAAAGGTAAGTGCTCAAGATACAAGAAAGCACGAATGAATTTTGTATATTTTAGCCAACACAGTAAAAATTATTTTTTGTTTCATTGACCTTAAGCTCAGACAGCTGCACACACCCTCTCTCAGCAACACAGCCATATGCACTCAGGCACTCAAGCCTGAAAGGTCTGAGGCGCAGGAGCTCGCACACACATTCGACATACCTGTGAGGATACACAGAAATCTGGCATTATCTGCGACTCTCAGAAAACATTTTAGCCAGCATCTGACATCTGTGGCTCTCGGCTTTAATGACTGCCTGCTACACCAAAAAAATAAAAATAAAAATAGATGACTTGATGCCAAGTCATGTCAAATACACTCAGTAGAAAGAACGCAAAAAATGTTCCTTGTTGTGTTAAGGCTACATTTTACACCTCTAGCATGGTGTTTAGCATTTCAAGTTTGACAGGCCTTTTGAAAAGGCTAAAAAATGTTAATGCACTCATGAGGTTGGATCAATAAGGCTTGCAGCATGTGCAGGGGGTTACTACAGATGGTGAGTGTGATAGCACCAGAGGTGCCTGAGCTCATTAAGAAACAGGACCATACTCCGGTGCAGAGCAGGCAGAGGAGAGGGAGGAGGAGGGGAGGATGCAGAGCATGGACTGAGGTTTTTCACCTGAGTGTCACAGAGCTCTGATGAGTCGCTGCCATCAGAAAATGTCAAAAAATTATGAATCGCCTCTTTGTGCATTCAGACGGCTACAGCAGATCTGTGTTAAATTAGTTAAAAGAAATAGTAGCATGTAGGTTAGAAGCTCAGAGGTTGTTCAAAGGCTGCAGGCAGCCTTTCCACGCAGACAGCTAGCTGGACTGTGGCGCCCTCTCCCTGTCGCAACTTCTTATGAGCACGAAAATTTACCTGAATAACCGCAGTTCATGTGTCGAGAAATCACATTTTCTATAACCATATTATTACATGAGAATAAAAAATCTGTCAATTTGAAGAAAAAAAAGAACACAAGGCTTATTAAACTAAACCATTTTATTTCATGTTGGTCTTTGGGCCATCTGAAAAAACTGGAAGATCATTCATAAAAATCATATTTCACAGAACAGATGGTTTGGATTTTTTTGTCTGGACGAACATCATTACAAAACTACACCTCTGTAAACTGGGTACAGTCAAACTGTTGCACAATTTCAAATCCACAGTGTGGAGTTCACACACAAATTCAACTTTCATTCCTTGTAGATGAAGTCACTGCTCTGAAAAGGCACAAGAGGAAAATGTTGCTGTAACTTGCGTTTGCCAACAGCAGGACAAAAAAAAACCACAAAAAACAAGTTTTTCTCATTTTTTATTTCCTTTAATCGCTTTTGGACTTCATGACATTTGTTTTCATGAAACAAAAAAGGTCTCCAGAACTGGACTCACACTGTTTACAAAAACACTAAAACAAATGCTAAATCTAATGAGATGCTGTGGCATTGCTCAAATCTGTTGTGGTTCCTGACACCATTATCATGTGCACTCTTATCAGTTTTGTAGTCGCTGATGCCTCCAGCTGCACACATTGTGTGTGAATCTGTCTCCATCTGGCCAAACTGAAATGAACATTTGTCTTAAAGATGCTAGAGTGAATCGTCTTTATAATTCACCTCACTACTCATTGTATTCACAACGTGCCCTTTTGTTGAGCAACACCATGCCAACGTCTTGGCAACAACAATAGCGAAGTAATTAAGCAGTAAACTGTCTCTGACGTGCTCACATGGTCAAAAGGAAACAAACAAAACTAAAAAACTCCAAAATGACACCAGACTAGTCACCATCACTTCTGAGTTTCTTTTTCTTTTTCTTCTTCTTTCCTGAGACCTCCACTTCTTCACCAAAGAATGTGTCCATGGGTTCACATTTCACAGGCACCTCTTCCACCTTGACTTTGACACTGGGCTCCAGTCCCTCCTCCACCTCCTCTCGCTCTCTGTCCTTCTTTTTCTTCTTCTTCTTCCTCTTCTCCACAGAATAATCACCCTCCTGGAAGGGGAGCTCCATCATTACTTCTTCCCGAAATTCATCTACAGGTTCCTCTTTCACATTCACCACTTCCTCTAGTCGCTCTTTTTTTATCCGTTTTTCCTTCTTTTTCTTCTTCTTTTTCCTCCCTTCCTCTTCCTCCTCCTCATCTTCTTCTTCTTGACCTGCTTCTTCTATGAATCGTTTGACTACCAGAGGTCGGAGAGTTGTGGAAGAGGGCCCAAAGGCAACTCCATCCAACTCATTCTCTGCCACGCAGGTAAGAGTGGGGGTCTTGCTGCCAAAAGGCTGGAATCGCTGTTTGAGTCCAGGCGGTATTGAGGGGGCTGGAGCAGCGGGGATGACCTGAGGGGCCTGATTGTTGCTGCTGTCTCCGTAGGTCTCGCACACATTAAGCAAGCCTGAAAAAGCAGGACCAACAACCATGCCATTTGACGGCTTCTTGTCACTGGTGAGCAGGCGGAGTTCTGAGGTACTGTGGTTGGATGCCAGGATGCTATAGATCTGCTGCCTGCTCCCAGTCTTGGCTCCAGCTTGAGCAGCAGTAGGAACCTTCAGGGTCTGGAGACCAGAGAGGGGCACCTTGATGCCACTGAAGCTGGATGGAATGAGAAAAGGTAAGTATGCATCACTTAAAAGTACTCTGAAAAAAAGTTTAAACATACTGTTTCTGCTTACACCCTCATGCTGTTACTTTGTTACTTGATATTTAATGTAATTTTAGTACAAAACAACATAATTCTCACAATGGGACGTTGAATTCATTACCAGCAACCAACACCTTTACTCACCTTAGCGATACTTGTCATAATGGGTCAGTTACCATTTGTAGATTTTAAAAAGATACTAACAGATTTTACAGTCATTTCAATGACCTGACGACTGCATGACTAGTTTTTAACAAATGCCACGGAGAGGTTGTTGCTGTTAAATGCAGTTAACTCAAAGTTCCACTGTGGAAACTGTGCAACACGGCAACAAAAATGAGACTAGAGGTGTACTCCTTTTGGAAATTACCTAAGTAGATTTAATCTCAGCATTCACTGACCAAAGTGCTGCACACAGTATCTACAACTACACACACACACAGGCAAATTATTACGGTAAAAAAACAAACAAAACAAAAAGTGAACACATGTGATACAGAATTAAGAGGCGTTCAACAATAAGCAGACACACTAATCGCTCTTTTTATGTCAAGTGGTAACTGATTCTACAACCGTAGAGGAGCATCTTTAAAGGTTCTGACACTTTTTGTTTAAGACATGATATTCAGACATATAAGAGAAGTTTGCCAATGGTTCAGAGAGACCTGGGAGCTGTAAACAAATAAGATTTGTAATCTTAACTGAATTCCAGAATGAGATGGGGTGAGCAGTGACTCCATCGTTTCAATTTAACCAAAACCTCAGAGGATATCTGGGAGATTTCGCTTCAGTAACCGGAGATATGCGAGGGCTGATGTCTGTGTGAATGTTTACTGATGATATCAGAGAGATATTCAGCTTTTGGCTTCTTTATGAAAGTATTATTACTGTGGCATTTGCATCTGAAACTTGTTTGTGGTTTAAACTGTTTATATGATTGCGTGGAGAGGAAGCACAAAAAAACCAAAAACAAATCACCATTGCAAAAAAGAAAAAAGGCTAAAAAATTGTTATTATGTTAGAAAAAAAATGTTTGCTGTGTGGGATAAAGGTAAAGGCAGACTGTACCCACCATTTGGGATCAAAGCTGGCAGGAGCTTTAATGAGCCATAACTCATTCTTGTTCTTCTTGAGGTTTTGTGCGAGAGTGCTGCTGCAAGGCTCGTGGCAGAAAGAGACAAAGTCAGGAGGACACTGGTACCTTGTAGTCTTATCTGTGGATTAAAAAACAACACCATCGAGTCAGAAGCACAGAAACTGGAACACGTTTTAGTGTGGATATTAACTTTCTTCTGTTGCTTTATCTAAACCACATATTTAATGTAAACACAATCGTTACCGCTAGCCTGCTATACCGTTTGCCGTCCTCTGGCTACTTCTAAGCCTTAATGAATCTGCTCTAACGTAAGTAACTACTAGCATATCACCTCCATTATTACACCAACTTCGTGCAACGTCTGCGTGTTAACTTACCGGATTCTGTCGGTTTGGGCGCCGATTCCACACCAGTGGTGTCCGCTTCATCTTCGCTCGATGAGGATATGTCTTTCGGCATTTTTTTTATTTTAAAATACGATCAAATTTCTGAAATTAAAAGTTTCTGTCTCCAATCGCAATGCTTGTGTGGGAGGCACACGTGTTGACAAAAACTGAACCGTGACCTTTAAGTATTTCACTTCCGTGCCAGTTCTCACTGTAGTTCCACGACGAGGCCCTCTATTGACTTCGGCGAGTAAGCAAACTCAAATACCCACAATTCACCTCACGTGGTTACGTAACGTTCCAGAGCCAGTCTGGGAAGCCGTTGACAGCGGGGAAGAGTAGGCCGAAGTCGGTAAACACAACAAATATATCAAAATTAGTTGCAAACAACCAAAGTATTTGAGCTAATTTCATATATGTAGAATGCGTAACATTATTTTAAAGCTGTGTGAGGTCCGTTAGGGGACGAAGTCAGTAGCAAAGAGGGCGTGCACCTGTCCACGCTAAGTAGGTTAACGCAGCTAACCTGTGCTAGCACGTTAGGAGGTTCGCTGAACACGCTCAGGTTAGCTCGGCCAGCCATGTCGTCCCCTTCCTCCTCCAGGCGCCAGTGGTGCTACCTGTGCGACCTGCCAAAGATGCCATGGACCGTGGTGTGGGACTTCAGCGAGGTGGTCTGCCGTGGATGCGTGAACTACGAGGGAGCCAACCAGATTGAATTCCTGATCGCAAGCGCCCGCCAGTTGAAGCGAACTCACGGCATGCAGGACGGTAACGTGAGGTCACCTGGTCCCTCTCCCAATAAACACGGCACATCAGCCCGGGGAGAGGTGGCGGCAGACGGAGGCAGGCCGCACGGGGACCGTTTCGAGAGGGGAGGAAGAGGAGAAATTACCGCTTCAACTATTCGTGTACCGCCAAACGGGCTGCATCGTGACGGGCAGCCGCCTCAAGAAGTTAACCGTCAGAGCCCCAGTGGCAGCCGGAGATCCATGATTAGCGCAGCCATCCCTCCTAATCTAGTGACTCAGAGTATTGCAGGTATTCCCGGTATTCCCTCTGGGATGCTTACAGGGATGCCCGCGGGTCTGACGGCCCGGACAGCCCCTATGATTTTCCCTGCCCCTGTGCTGGCAGAGATGAGCCGCAGACAGCTGGGAATAAGCATGGGGATCACCCCTTTTATCGCGCCAGAGCTGGAGCGAGAGCTGAGTTCCTCCCAGAACCAGCCCAAGACGCAGACCCACACAGTTGTGGCTGGCAGCAGTACCAGCAAGAGTACAAGCTTGGCTTCTTCATCGTTCTCCATGGCTGGAGGTGTAAGCCAGACTAGTCCTAAACCTGCATCATCTCCAGCCAGGCAGTCACGCCCCCTAACTGCAAGGTCAGGAGGAGAGCCCCTAGGATCCAGCACCTCAGCGGAGGCAGCTACCACCGCTGCCGCGTTACCCCACAGTGGTGCCTCTGAGCTGGCATCTGCATCTGCCAATAACAGCCATTCGGCTGGAAACAGTCTGTCCTGCACCTTGTGTCATGAGAGACTGGAAGACACCCACTTTGTTCAATGTCCATCAGTGCCAGGCCACAGGTTTGTATGTTTGTCATTTATTTATTGTTATATAAATATCCTATAACATTGTTTGTTTTTAGCTTTTAGCTAGGTTAGGTATTTAAATATGTCTTGCATACAAAAGCACGTATTTGTTAAACTGGTTATAAATATATGTCCTGCAGTTGTTAGCGTCCAAAATAATTATGTCCACTGTAATACTCTTCCTCCGCCAAATATAGGTTCTGCTTCCCGTGCACAAGAGGGTATATCCAGAGTAGGCATGGTGATGGGGAAGTGTACTGCCCCAGCGGGGAGCGCTGTCCATTGGATACCTCTCCCAACAGTCCCCCATGGGCCTTCATGCAGGGGGAGATAACCACCATTTTGGGAAATGGTGCTGCCAGTTCAGGATCGAGCGGAGCAGGGTCTGCTTCAGCTCCTGCATCAGCTCCTACATCTGGAGCCAGTACTGGTCCTGGAGCTGCAGCTTCATCAGGGCCTGGAAGTGGAACAGCAGCAGGAGCAGCTGGAGCCGGAGCAGGGAGTGGGAGTGGAGATGTTACTGTCAAGAAAGAGAGAGAGACGTGATGGTGGTTTCAGTGGCAGCATGGACCCAACACAGCAACAGGCAGGTCTACAGGCATCTGACCTTTGTGAAGAAAATTTATAAAAAGCACTGATGTTTAGTGTTTTTGTTATTGATATAAAGTGGGACACAAAATGGGGTTAAAATACAACAAGAGATGCTCTCCTGTTGTATTCTACAAGTGTTTTAACAGTAATATCCATAATCCCAACCATGGTATGATCGATATGCTTGCAGCTGATATTAACTATATTTTCATGTGTTTGTTTTCTGTCCCAGAATCGTATCCCAGATCAGAACAGACGTCTCCCCCGAACAGCTAAGAGTCCCAGAAGAGAAGCAACGCAACAACCTACAAATCTCAAAACATCCACTAAGCAAGTTAAACTGCTTGTCACATTGCAATGAATTCAAAACTATTAGGCCTAATCAGAGATCTGATGATGGCAGCAAAGACTGCCTGCACACATCACTTGTTTTTTCTCTGAGCAACTGCTGATTTTTGCCACTGTATAGTGAGCTTGTGAAATTAAATTTCCCAATGCATTCTGTGCATTGCGCGCTCACTTGCAGCAATGCTGTAAAACAGTTTAATGCCATTTTAAATTTTCAGTCCAGAAAACAGCAGAGATGCTAATGGAATATCACCACCACAACCAGACATACAGCGTATACATATCCCTAATCATGCGATGGTGGAATCACATATTCAGGAAGACTCACAAGCTGGACAGCGGCTACTGCTTAAGAGTTGGTAATTAGTTCTGTTACTTGAAACAAGCATCGCTTTCACGTTAGCAGATGGATATAGATTATAGCATTCCTATCTGAACACATACAATGCAGCTTTGTCAGGTGCTTCCTGGATCTTCCCATTAAGCACAAGATATCCTTTAGTGTTGGTGCTTTGGCACTATAGCTGCGCTACATTGGCTGCTGAGGCGTAACAGGAGTGCAAAGGCCTAGTGAGGATGTAGAGGTGATGATGGCACATTTTACTGGGTTGACTGCCAAGAGACCCTGATTTGTACCCCATTCATAGCTGTGTGTTTTATTCTTTGTTTTTGGGTTTTTTTACCTCGGTTTATGCTCTCAGATCCACTCACTGGTTAGGTTTAGGCACTAAAGACTACTTGGTTAAGGTTAGTGAACCCTGCTCCTTGACAAATGATGCGTTGCAAGCGATTGATGGCTCATTTATACCATAACCCAGTGTGTCACAGCAAACATGCCAAAGGACGCTTTGAGCATAAATTAGTCATGGTTTAGCTACAATACGTGGTACTGATTGGCACCTTGGAGATAAAGACAGAAATACTTTAGTCAAAGCAATTGACATCAGTTTAATTTGTGTCAGTGATGATTTGTTAGGAGACCTGATAGATGAGTGATTAGAGTTCTCAAACTCTTAGACAATAGCCGCTTCCCAGTGTTGTCAGCATACACTCAGCTTTGTGCAGGAAAAAGCACAAATATATATACTACATATACACATATATATATTTACATGTATGTCAAAGTATATCTAAACAGCAGCCACAGCTGTTCTTTTTATTGTTGAAAAGTTGAGTTAATTGTCTTGGGAAAAAATGCCATATTATTTACCAATGCTTCATCAAATGAAATATTTTCTGCTTCTACAAGTTAAATTTACAGCTTATAACTGACATGACACTGACAGTGATGATGTAATGTACCTTCAGCAGATTTTTTTTTTTTTTTAATTGCTTCATGACTGAGTCTGTGTCCTGATGCACAGATTTTTCTTTCTTTCTTTTTTCTTTTAAATCTCCAGTAAAACATCTAAACAAACCTGCGTTAGATGTGGACAGAATGCCAGTAGAGACATTTCTGTGCGCTTGTGCATTTGTTGTTTTTGTTTTGTGTTTTTTTTGTCAGCTTAAATTGAAGCTGACTTTAACTCAGAGAAAGGAGAATGTTTTGCTGTGTAGACACAACCAGTTAACCTGTCAGCGCGTCAACCAGCAGCAGAAACTCAGTGTTTGACTGTATTTAAATGTTGCTTTCATACAAGATCCAGCCCAGCCTACATTTTACCCCGAATGTATATAAAAAAAATCTATTGACAGGCCTATGATTATATTTTATACTAGAATGTTAAATGTTATATACTGTAAAGAACTGTAATAGTACACACGTGCAATCCTTAGACATAGTACATGCAAGAGTTTGACATATGGTATTAAAAGAAATTGCGCATCATTTCTTAAACTTTTTTTTTTAAGTGAGAATCCACTGAAAAGCAGAAATCTTTGTTTCTGATCAAGAGATGTTTAATAAATCTGTGTGGTCTGGTTTCCAGTCATACTATTGAACATTGTATATTATTTCCCATTTGCCATATTTCAAAATGAATTTCATAAATACATTAAAGTGCGCAGGGATTTCATGTTCCTAAATTGAACAACCAGACATTGTAATGATAATATATCAAAATGAGTTTGTTTTTTGGTGGATTCTCTTTATGTGCAGCGAGTACTTGACAGTACAGAAGCACAGACAAACCAAAGGTAATTTTATGCCCAAAATGATGTTTATAATTGTAAATGTTTTATGGAAGACATATATTTCATTATTTTTCAACCAGCTGGTTCTCTTCATTAGGCCGTTACAGTTAACAGGCCAATGTGTTCTACTGTACTTATAGGATATGTACAATCTATAGTCTGCAGCAGATCCTTACATAGCACTTATATATTTTAAAGGGGACCTATTATGCTAATTTCTAGTTCAGTATTTTTATGTTTTACTTTGCTAGAGTAGCTTTGCATGATTCATCGTTCAAAATAATTCACATTTTTTCTCAGACTGGGCCTTGATGCAGCCCTCCAATTCTTTCTGTCTGAAATGAGCCATTTTATGGCCGTTCTCCCTTTAAGTCATCTTTCTTCTGATTGGCTGCCTACCGCAAACAGAAGAAGTGTC